TTTTCTTCTTTACTACTTTTCAATACATACACGCGGGAGGAAAGAGACCAAACGCTACTTGCTGCTGTGCACATTGAAACGCTCTGCAGTCACCACCAGCAACACACACACACACACAATCGTCGCGGCCTGAAAGCATTCCCTACAAGGAGTGAAGGGAGACAGTGAGTGAGAGTAACACATGCTCAAAATGTCCCGGCACATGTTTTTGTATTCGGTGCAGCTCCTTTTCTGCGTGCTGTTGGTGTGCTGCGGCGGTACGGCTGTGTACGGTGAGGAGGGAAATACGCCAAAGGAAGCGCAAACACCAGAGGCTGTTGATCTTTTTGTGCCGCGTCAAACGATTGTGGGAACAAGTGCCGGAAGTGGAACGAGGGTCTTCTTTGTCTCACCTTCTCTCGTCAGTGCTGGTGGAGTTTTGGTTGCGCTTGCCAAAAGCCAGGGCAGACCTGTATCCTCCGATAAATATCGTACTTCGATCGTTTATGCTGATGTTGTGACGGGGTACATTGACCCTGCGGAGAACTGGTCGTCTTTTGTTGCTGAGGTGAGTGCAAACGAATGGAAGGCGTACAGCATCTTTAACACGACCATGCGTCAGGAGTATATGTCCCGTGTGACATACGAGGTCCGACCCACAACAATTGCAAAGGGTAACAAGGTTTTTCTACTTGCGGGAGACTATCATCAGAAGTATGATCCTTCATCGAAGAAGTGGACTGCATCCTCACAGGGTCTTGATTTGCTCGTGGGTGAGGCCACGCAAGATAAAGTCATCCAATGGGGCGAACCCACCTCGCTTGTACCACAGATCAAACCATCTGCTAAACAACGTGGCCTGGAGCAGTTTGTTGGTGGTGGTGGCTCGGGCGTTGTGATGGAGGATGGCACGCTTGTGTTTCCTGTGACGGCGAGGATGACAGGAGACAACGACATTGTCTCCATGATTATTTATTCGAAGGACGACGGCAAAAATTGGGTGCTTCCACAGGGGACGGTTTCTGGACGGTGCATTGCCCCCCTCATCGTTGAGTGGGAGCAGGGGCAGCTTCTCATGGTTGCCAAATGCTATTCGCTCTCCAAGCTGTTCGAGTCGAGGGACATGGGGGCAACGTGGAGGGAGGCTGTCAGGACACTCACACGTGTTCAGCCCATGTTGTTACCAGACGCTTCGCGGACACTTGAAGGAGTGGGGTCCCTCACCACTGCCATCATTGCTGGAAAGAAGGTCATGCTGTACACTCAGAAAGGGATTCCCCCTGGGGAGATGGCGCGAGCCACCGCGCTCTACCTTTGGGTCACTGACAACAACCGCACGTTTCACCTCGGGCCCATTTCCATGGATACTACAGAGAAGTGGACGTCTGCCAACACCCTGCTGCATTCGAAAGATGCGTTGTACTTTTTACAAGAGAGGGTCAGTACAGCGACCAAGGGCGTGTCTCTAGCTCCCCTAACGGAACAGCTGAAGACGATTACGTCAGTCTTGGAGACTTGGGCAAAACTGGACTCCTACTTCTCCATGTCGTCTGTGCCCACGGTCGGTCTGGTTGGATTCTTGTCGGATGCATCGGGTGATGCAACTTGGAAAGACGCGTACCACTGCGTGAATGCAATTGTGACGAATGCAAAGAAGGTCGAAAATGGCTTTAAGTTCACGGGGTCCGAGTCATACGCCATGTGGCCTGTGAACATGTGGAAGCATCAATATGTGCACAGCTTTATGGATTATGAGTTCACGCTTGTGGCGACGGTGACCATCGATGAGGTTCCGAATGAGAGCGTTCCTCTGCTGGGCGCGGGCCTGGAGGACAATGAAAACACAAAGTTTGTGGGGCTGTTGTACACAACGGAGAAACGGTGGGGGACAGTCTTCAACGGCATGACAACAACAACACACAACAGCACTTGGGAGCCGGGGAAGAAGTACAAAGTGGCGCTCATGCTGGAGGGTAACAAGGGCTCCGTGTACGTGGACGGCGTGCTTGTGGGGAATACTAACAAACTACCAATTCTTGAGGAACGGGGTTACCAAATCGCAGACTTTTACTTTGGTGGCGGCAAAGACAGCAGTGTGACAGTAAAGAACGTTTTTTTGTACAACCGACCACTGAATGTCATGGAACTTAAAGCGGTTGACAGCTACGTTGCATCTGGAGAACGTCCAAGTGAAAGCCCCAATGCGTCTGAGCAACGTACAGTTAACAGCTTTAATGCGTCTGAGGAGGGTGCAGATGAGAGCTCCGATGCCTCTGAGCAACGTACAGTTAACAGCTTTAATGCGTCTGAGGAGGGTGCAGGTGAGAGCTCCGATGCCTCTGAGCAACGTACAGTTAACAGCTTTAATGCGTCTGAGGAGGGTG